AAAGTCATTCTCTCTTGCGGTCTCATCGACAAAAAGGATTGACTCCTTACGGTCAGCGAATATTAACACAGAATCCGACTTAGATTTTGCGAGTGCGTACGACTACCGTCCCGTTGTCCGCGGATTCGTTATTGAACCTAGGATCATTGTCATTAGTCTCTCGAGTATCTAATCACCACGGTTACTTGTCCGGTTCTATGGTAATCGTATTTGCACTAGCCAATGTCTTCTCTATTGCATAATAACTTTGACGTGTAATCCAAACGAAGATTCGCTTTACGCCCCTAACCCTAATTCTAATGTACACCCGACATATATTTTCGTTTCTCTATACACTATACATATACGTTACTTAATCTATACACTGTTAGCTATGTTTCGCTTATTTCAATACTTAAAATACCACAAACAATACAAAACACAATAAAATTTGCTTTACCTCCTGTACATTCTTACGTATTTAAATCGCAGCCTGTAAATGCACAAACATCTGTCGTTGTGGATTTTCATGTATTTACGAGAAACTTAAAGGTAGAGGAATAGAATGCATACGATGTATTAGGTCGTTCGAAAAGTTTCTTTCGTTTTATAAGAAAATAACGGATGCACAATATTTTCCGTGTTATATTATTTTATCGAATTACGTATGATTCATTTCGTTCTATCAAGATAAAGATTGCAACGTTCGACAGATTAGGTTTCATGTTCGTATAAAGATACGTTGTCGTAAAACACGCGTCTGTAAAAGAAAGACACTCTCCGGACAACCTGATATAAAAACGCATCCAAAGTTAGATATTTTACAGCCGAGACAAATTCCTTTCTCGCAGTTTAAATTCCATTTTTCCTATCGTACTGGAAAACATACGAATTTCTATAGATTATTCGCCATCTATTAATCATCCGACATCAAAAGCTCCAACATTCCTCTGACCGGGAATGAATCAAACATTCAAATATTTTCCTCCGCCCATGGAATTCCACAACCTTCGAGCTAACTTACTATTATCCCAGTTATTGGAATGTTCTTCGATAATTGCTGACTAACCACCGATAATCGAACCGGTGTTCCAGTGTGGCGGTCAGAGCGGTGTCTGGACAGCAAGCGTGATCATACTGTCAATCGGAAGCTGGGTCGGGAAAGGGAAAGTTGGCCCACGACCAGCCGATGGCGAGACTGCACACCTGACATCGCCCAAGGAAAGGTTGGAGACCGTGCGGCAGGTTCTTTCCGAGGTGCCTTTGATCGACGGCCACAATGATCTGCCCTGGAACATTAGAAACTTCGTTCACAACCAACTGGCCGAATTCGATTTCGACAAGGATCTACGACAGGTCGCGCCTTGGAGCAAGAGCGCCTGGAGTCAAACTGACTTGGTTAGGCTACGTCAAGGCATGGTCGGCGGTCAGGTAATTATCTTAATTACAAATAGCCCGATTATCCATCGACGGTGCTTGATAATTACGGTTGGCTACGAAAGATAATATGTGGTGTATAAGTCGTGTCCGTGATGATTTTGTGGCTGGTGGCTGTAGATGTGGCTGCTGGGGGTACTGCTATATTTTCTTCCTATTTAGAATCGTGGAATAAAAATCGAACTTCGGTCGCTGGGATTCGATCCCGCGTTCCGAACGTTCGTAACCTAATGAGCTAACCACTGCGCTACCGTTGTCCGTTAGTTGTTTACGTCGAGTGGCGGTATTTGCGCGTGGCGGTATTTGCGCTGTCGAGTGCCGCCACAGATATTTACACGCCATTGCGTCTATTATGGTATTCGAAAAACAGACCTAATTGGTTAGGTCTAAGCATGTTAAATTTCGTATTATTTTGTAGCAACCTCGTGTGACTATCGAAAATTTCATACTATGAAAATGAAACGTAGAACCTGATTAAAAGACGTTTAATTGGAAAATTAAGTTCAATAATTTCTTAGCCACTGTAATATTACGTTAGGTATTTAATTTTGAGCGTTTCAGGGACCGAACTATCCGTGTCTCTTGCTGCTCCATTCTGCGTATATTATCTGCTTTGGTTTGGTGTATGTTCCAAACAATTTGATTAAACGAAGCGACTGTTATTGGCACAATGAAAGGATTTCGATCCGATTCATGATAACATATCGACGCGTTAACGCATCGATTTAACGCGTGATTCGTGAAAGTTGATCAAAATAATTTTACACAGATGGAATTAAAAAGACGTGTGACAAGGACGATCGTCTCCCTTCGCCTTCGCAGATCCGCTCAAACGTTCGTTTCTGTTCACTTTTTTTCTAGTTAATTATCTGGAGAAAAAAAAGATTCGAGAATTAAATTCTCGAAGCGGTAAATAAATAAATAAATATCAACAAACGTATTCGATAAACGAATAGGGAAGAGAATTTGCGTTTAAAGTTCGACTCTTCTATTACCCGATCAACCACTTCCTTTGCTCCAGACTTAAAAATATCAAAGTTTAAAAATAGCAAAGTGTCTGAAGAATAAATCGGTGTTTACCATATAATTAAACACAGGGGTTACTTCGGGTTACTCGTCTGGGACAAGTTGAATGCATCGATTAACGTCACAAAGCCTTGGAAACTCGTCACGCTCGACCATGGTGCACAAACACACGTACACGTTGTGTACAAGCCAGCCGATTTACCCAGCAACATGCTTACAGCCACGTAACCAAAGAATTACGGAAAATTAAAGGAGAAATATTTTCGCAGTACGTTCGCGCATATTTCTCTGTGAACTGAAAAACTTAGGCAAAAGAAGAGAATAATAAAACAAGCCGGCTAGCTACCCCGTGAAATTCGTTCAGTTGTTTATTTGGCCAACTAGAAGGAACGTTGTAATTAATCAGCAACCTCTTTGCAGGGCCGATCTGCCTCGGTGCATGAACAGTTTTCCCAAACTTCCTCGATCTCACGAAAACGATTTTGCTTGCACACAGTTTCGATAGTAGTTGAACGATTACCATGCAAAACTTTTACGTTCATATCGTATGTGCTGTATAAAACATTTAAAAATTTTATTAGCATTGCAACGAGACAGGTAATCACGATTATACCTGTAGTATTTGTAATCAATCTAAAAATATATGTAGCATCGTGGAAACAAAGGCTTGTGGCGGTACTCGACAGTAAATACCACTACTCGACACTAACTAGTGTCGGACGACGGCAGCGCAATGGTTAGCGTTTTTGGTTACGAACGTTCGGAACTCGGGTTCGAATCCCGGCGACCGGAGTCTGGTTTTTCTTCCACGATACAAAAATCCTAAGCACACAGGATAAAATTACCCTCCATAAGACCGCGTAATAAAACCAACAGTAGTCTAGTCCTACGGAATCCCCAAATTATGGGGAACATCAAGTAAATTATTCCAACATTGAAATACTTCAATGCTTGCAATCGAAAACGCTTAAGATCCATTATAAATGCACCCTGGTACGTGACCAACGAACTAATACACTATACTAACACTAAAACTACTAGAACCAGCCAAAATGACTGGTCTTTTAATCCATCTGGGACCATAATCCCTAAACAAGGATTATTGACACATTTATAAAATTGTAGAACCAGTCGTTTTGACTGGTGTGGTATTGCTAGTGTTAGCATCTAACGATCGATGCGGAATTTTCCTGATAAGCGATATCACCATATCGAATGAAACGCGGTACAAATTTTAAAAACTTGTGGGAAGTTGTAGAAAACGAAGAAACTGGTTAATTGGGGTTCGATAAACAGATCGCAGGACCCTTTTACACTTTGACAAGTACCATTCATTTTCACTGGTATTGGTATAAGTAGCCTTGCTACAAAGTTATTTTTACTTTGAATACATAAAAAACAAAATAAAACTCGTTATATTAGCCTTTTAGTTATCGTTGCGAAAGTCATTACATCATTGCGGGGAAAAAAAATATGACACGAAGTAGTAATTTTAAAATAAAATTGTAAAACCAGTCAATTTAACTGGTGTGGTAGTTTTAGTGTCAATTCTCATCTTCGATACGCCCATAGATGGGGGAAAATAAGATTCGCGAAGGAGATTAGTAAAATACGTAATCGTACAAGAAGTTTATCCTTCGACCTTAATCCACCCTATAAAACAACCCTCTTTTGGCAAACTGTAGCTTATTATCGTCGATATCTCCCCTATATCTCGCGATAGCTTTAACGTTTTTTCCCCCTCGAGTTGGCTGATCCTTTGAACAGGGATCACCGGCGTCAAACAAAAATTCTGATCGGATTATTTGCGCCGAAGATGTGGTTCCGTAAAACAAGCATAATCCTTTGGTATCAAGGCGATTTATCGGGACAGAATATCAAAGATATAGCGAACTAAACAGATTTAACGTATTGATCAGTCGTTGAATCTGAAGCGCCCGGAGCACGTTTATAAGTTCGATCGTGACTTGCGGGCGGCAGGACATTTGACCTCTCGCGTGTTTAACCTATTCGTCCGAAAGTGCGATAGGAAACGGAACGTTTCGCAGTTGAAGAGAACAGGTGGTTCGTATACACTGTCGCACGAAAATTTACAATCGTACGGCGTTTATTGTTAGTCGTTTGACCGTTTTCTAATCGTAACTAAGTTTTGTGACAGCATATGTTGGATTAATACGTTATAAAATATAAAATAAAGGAATATAAGATTTTTATATATGTAGTATCGTGAGTGAGAGGCCTGGGAGTTGGCGGGTGAACCGCGTGGAATGTCGCGAGAGCCGAGGCGTTTGTTTTCGATCGCGTAGTTTTGGAAAAAGGGGCCTACAAGCGGTTGCTAAGGGACGAGAAACGAATCAACAGTGATTGCGAGTTGGGTTGCCGAGAGAGTGTTGATTGCGTTTATGACAGCCGAGTCGTTGATTAATTATTTAGTTGTGCTGTTCATTATACGTTTTAGTTGTGCTGTTTTCTGTACGTTTGGTGTGAATAGTTCAGGTTGAACAACAATCGTCTTTTTCTGTCCGATTAACATCTGTATCATCCATTCCTTGTAAATATATTATATCACGATATTACATATATATATTAGGTTGTCCGAAAAGTTTCTTTCGTTTTATGAGGAAATAATAGACGCACAACGTTTTTTGTTTTATATTGTCGAATCACGTACGATCCATTTTGTATTGTTGAGATAAACATCGCGATATTTCATAGACTTGGTTTCAAGTTTGTACGAAGGTTCACTGTTGTAAAGAACACGTTTGCGAAAGAAAGACACTTTCCGGACAATCTAATATAACATAGAATATTAATATACAATTTTGACAGTTTAATATTTGATTAAATTTGAGTTATCTTTTATTCAGGAGGAATTACTTATATGTGTTATATCCAAAAACATTGAAACGTACGGATGTTGCAATAGATCATCACTTATAGAGGAGGAATTGTTATTAAATCTTGCTAGTTCTATAAAAACATTCCATTTGTCGTTGATGAGGTTTAACAGTTTTTATATGATTTGCAAAAATTGAAAGAATAAATGTATATTTTTATATGTTAGTCGTATTTTTTTAATAATATCTTTGGATGGAACATATAGGATGTAGTAGAATGACAAATACAATGTTGTTGCTAAGATACAAGGATGCTGCAATAGATAATCACTAATAAAGGAGGAATTGTTATTAAATCTTCCTAGTTATATAAAAACACTCCATTTGTCGTTTATGAGATTTAACAGTTTTTATGTAATTTAAAAAGTTGAGAGAATAAATGTATATTTGTATATGCTAGTAGTGTTTTTCTAATAATATCTTTGGATGGAACATATAGGATGTAGTAGAATGACAAATACAATACCGCTGATAGGATACGAGGATGTTGCAATAGATCATCACTTATAGAGGAGGAATTGTTATTAAATCTTGCTAGCTCTATAAAAACATTCCATTTGTTGTTGACGAGGTTTAACAGTTTTTATGTAATTTAAAAAGTTGAGAGAATAAATGTATATTTTTATATGCTAGTAGTGTTTTTCTAATAATATCTTTGAATGGAACATATAGGATGTAGTAGAATGTCAAATACAATAGCAAAAGAGCAAATTTTAGAGAAATTGTGTCACGTGTCATATGTTTGTCACCATATATTTATTTATTGCAATATATGCCCTTTTCTCAGAGAATATTGATCTCAGAACTAAAGTGTATTTTCTCTGTATGTAAAATTACTCTACCAATTGAAGTAATTACTCTTTCTGTGCTTAATGGATGATTAGAATTTGCAAAATGAATATTTAAAAGATCGAATAAAACGCTACTGACACGTAAAACGTCAAAGGGAAAGTTGCTGATGAAATGTTAACGTACACTATATGGGAAAATTCATAATGAAAAGGGAAACACTGAAAAGAACAATGAAAAGAACCGCATCCGGAATACTTAATTGCAAAACCGTTTACCAGA